CCTTATTGTTCCTGAAATCATTCTTAAATCTTTCCTTTTTGAAAGTAAGTCTGACCATAGCTAGGCATCAGGTAGTCTCTGTCTACCTTTACTTATGACAAACGATGCCTTTTTTTAACTTTGCCCTTTCTGATTGTCATAGCTTATCTTACTTAAAAGTTCAGGCTTTATGAGACAGGAACTTCCTTCTTGTTATTTCTTTGTCTTTTTAGGAAAATCCTGACCTGTATTGGCACATCAAGCAATATAATGCAAGTAACTATATTTCTGTTGATTTAGTAACAGTAATAATAGTAATAATAATGACAATGGTGATGATGACGCTTTCCTTTCTTGCCTTAGGCTGCTCCGGCAACCAAACCCTACACAGTCACTCACTCACCCTCCCCCACCCCCAGGGATGAGGGAGAGAATCAAAGAAGAAAAAGAAGAGAGACCTGTGGGTTGAGATAAGAACAATTTACTACTACCGCTACCAGTGTATATACGTACGGATATGTACAAGGACAAATGTATACAAACGAGTGATGTGCGGTGTAATTGCTCACCACCCCTTGACCAAGGCCTGTCTCTTCCCAAAGCTAATGATCCCGAAACAGATAAATCCCGATACCGCGATCCCGGATGAACGGGAGGCCCCGAGACAGAGAGCGAGCGAGAGAGAAAACACTCTGAGAGCCCAAAAGTGAGAGTCCCAGAAGGGCAAAAAGCCCTTCTTTCCGGCTGACCCTCACTTTTATACTGGGCATGACGCTGCATGATATGGAATACTGATTGGCCAATTTGGCCCTCAATCTTAAGTTCAGGTACAAATCGTAAGGAGAGTCGTGGACTCCCTGTCCCGGCCATGCTCCCCCCTTATCCTGTTGTGCTCCTGCACGCTGGCAAGAACACGGCAGCTGAAAAGTCCTTGAGGCCTCAGTGCCAACTACAAACATCAGTGTGCTGTCAGCATTCTTCTCAGAGCGAGCCTCTGAGTAAAACCAAAACACAGAGCTCTTCCAGCTGCTAAAAAGAGGAGCTGACTCTGTCCCAGCTAAAACCAGGACAAGCTGACAGCCTACTAGTGTCAGCACAGTTATTCCATGCAAACAGTGAATGGATCATGATCTAATGAATATTCTATGATAACTAACATTGGCATTTCCTGTGCCCGATTATTACACTGTTGGGGCTCACAGGGATGCTTACATAGGATCACACTGGTTTATTAAGGAGTGTAGTGAAACAAGTCATGCAAGAAAAAACAGTGTATACACATACATGTATATGTATGTATATATTATCATACAAATCTATGAAATTCAGTTTCAAAATGTTCTTTTTTTCCTTCCTTAAATTCTAGGTCAGTAAAACCTCTCTCTACTGTTAAAGCCCCATGAACCAAAAAGAGTTTGTCCTTTCAGAAATTCTGAGAAGTAGTAGGCTGGATAATCTGAAATCCTTTTCCTGTGCATTGTAACAGATGTTTTGCAGACATCAGGTTACTCTGATTTGTTGTTGTGGGTTCTTTTTTTTTTGGGAGGAGGAAAGGGGGCCGGACACGGACAGACATGGAGTGAGAGAGTTTAACGACTCCTTCCAGTTTATCAAAATCCTTCTTAAAGTGTTGCCACCAACACTGGGAACAGTGGAGTGACTTTTGGAATACAAGTGATAAAATATTGCTTTGTTTCTGATCATACTTTCTGACACAACAGTTCAGTTATAATCTGCAATCTTTTTGTTTTGTTTCTTTTTCTGCCATTGCCCTTATTGCTGCTGATGCATCTCAAAACACTGCAGGGAAGTTTCTAGCATGCTATTGATACTATGCAAATAACGTGTTCTTAGTTGCACATATATAGAACTACTTAGAAGAGTATCATGTGTGGGAGTTCTGAAGAAATTGTGTTTAATGTTGCAAAAGTGACTCTATCTTGAAACACACCAGCTGATTAATAATGGCAAAAAGTCATCCAGATGTTTTGCAGTTAACTGAATCAGTAGTGCTATCTCACTAGCTAAGTAGTCAGTCTGTCACATAGAATCGTAGAATCATAGAATGGTTTGGGTTGGAAGGGACTTCAAAGATCATCCAGTTCCAACCCCCCTGCCATGGGCAGGGACACCCTCCGCTACACCAGGTTGCCCAAAGCCTCATCCAGCCTGGCCTTGAACACTGCCAGGGATGGGGCATCTACAACTTCTCTGGGCAACCTGTTCCAGTGCCTCACCACCCTCAGAGTGAAAAATTTCTTTCTTATATCTAATCTAAATCTACCCTCTTTCAGTTTAAATCCATTGCCCCTTGTCCTATCATTACATACCCTTGTAAAAAGTCCCTCTCCAGCTTTCCTGTAGGCCCCCTTTAAGTACTGGAAAGCTGCAATAAGATCACTCTGGAGCCTTCTCTTCTCCAGGCATCTCCTAAAAAGACCTGGGTGCAAAAGATGAACTTTGTTGGATTATGAAGTGTTAGTGGGAGATGTAAGTAGCTATCAACTGAGGACCTATCAACCTGTTGAACCTGGATTGATGATTTGGCTGATGTTTGGATCTTGTATCATATCCACTTTCAGAGAGGTCATTTATTTCTTTTAAGTGTCAATGAGTAAAGAAGTATTTTTCCTTCTGATAGTTGTTATCATAGCGTATCTGATATCAAAGTCTTGCCATTTTGCAAGAAGAAAAGTTGACTGTATGCTAAATCAAATCATATGCTTGAGTTTTATTCTTCAAATTTCTCTTCAGAGAAGGTGAATTAAGCGTGGCTTCACTTAAACATGTATCCAACTTTTTGAATGTTTTCTAGTCTTTAAGTGGGTGAAAAACACTGTTTAAAGTAATCTTACATTTTACCTCAATAATTGAGGCAGTTACTGTACTTGTATTATATGATTTATAATTGCTATATAATGCATAGGATAAACTTTATACCACTTCAGCAGGCTTAGAGTGGACTTAACTGATTTTTTTCCTGAAAACTTGTGCATGATATTTTTTGCTGATAAGGAAGAGAATCAACAAATCGTCTCTATATATGAAGTAAGTCTGGATAGATTTTCCAGCTTTTCAGTGGACTTTCTTAGTCCATTTTGTGCAACTAAGCAACTAATTACTTTATGGGATTTGTGATTCTATATTACACAAATGGTGCAGACTGCAGAGTATCCATTGTGAAAGATTAGCTGACAGTGCCTCAAGATAAATGATGCCTTTGTATTCCAATGAGGATGTACTGGTGGTTCTAAAAAAACTGGGGTTTTGTAACTTCATTACATGATTTTGGTGAAAAAAGAGTCTTTATCGCATTCATTTTTGATCAGCCTGTGTTCATTAATGACTATGTATTTTGCAGAACTAGAGTGATGTTAAGAGTAGAGGAGGGAGGGAGAGGTCACACCCAGGCAGTGTAGTTAAAGGAGTTAGTTTGGGAGTGCTGAATTTTGATTGCTGGTACTGTTCATTGGAGACTGAGCCTCATATGCTGTAGTACCATCAGGGTCCAAAAACTTTGACATCACCTAGGCCTGGAATCAAGTTGGTTCATTGTGCAGACATACTGCCTGCTGCTCTTTGCAGAGATTGGCTCTGTCTGTCTGTGGAGGTGCTTGCTTGGCTGTCTTGCCACAGTACTGGGACATCTGAGCATCCCTCTCTTCTCTTTTCTTAAAAGGACAATGGAACTTTATTTTCTCCTGACGGTGCTATATGGAAGCTGCTTTTAACCTTGGTCTACCTTCCACTTTTGTTGAGGAAATAATCTTATCCCTCAAGTGTGGATTCTGGGCCAAGATTTCGTCTTGGCTGCATCTTCCTTGCTTTAGCAAGGCTTTTACTCTCTATGGTGCTCTGCTAGACTAATGACAGTATGCAGTTTGCTTTTAGATAACTGCAGTATTTAAGTGCTGGTGCCCTAAAAAACAAGTGAAGCTTTTTCTGTGGGGCCATTACCAGGGCACTTTGATGATATAACAGAGATTGAGAAATAGGACAGCCTTATCACATGTGTGTGTTGATTTGAGAGGTAGATTTAATATAGTTTTGGTAATAACTTTTAAATACATTGTATCTGTGCAACAGGTCGATTTTTAGGACTTTGATCTGTGTCAGTAGTAATAGTACCATACATTATCTTGTCATGCTTTTGAAATAAACCTTTGAAATAAATGAACCAGCTACATCTGAATTGATTCTAGCTTGGAAGGGCAGGCTATTTAAAGCTTCTAGCATTAGGTAAGTGTACTGTGTGTAAGGTAAGACAAGTTACATGAAATTTCTGCCATTTGATAAACGTGCTGCATACAAGGTAGTACTGATGTTGAGTATATCCTTCTTTCTCAGTAAATTGTCATTTATCATTCAATATCAAGACTTGTAGAAGTGTGTAAATACATCACATTTCATTCTACATGGCTTCTGCTTGTATCGCTTTCTTAATTAACTTCCTTGTAGCAGTATGTTCGAATTTCAGGTGTTAATCTTGGTGTCCCACCATGCTGTGTCTTGCTGTTTACCAATCAGTTGCAAATTTTGTCTTTGTTCACTCAAAATATGTTTGAATAGAAGTACTGTTATTCTCTAAGTAAAGTGGTGAGTATCCCTTCAGGCTAAAGTGCTTCCTGCGTGCAGCCATTTACATGCTAAATCATGCCACATTAAGATACGACATACAAACTCTTTAAAAATTAACTTTGGAGGATGGGAAGGTTTCCAGTAAATAACAGAAACAGAGGACAGACTACTTCTTCACTGACCTGCCTCTGCCTAGCCTTTTCTTTCACAGTATAATCATAACCGTAAACGATTAATTCTGTAAATGTTTAAAAAGAAAAGCTATGTTTATCTTATCATCAGAGTGTCAGTGTATTTGTCAACATCAAAATATATTTGCATTGAAGTGGAGAATCATGTTTCAGGCACAACCACCAGTCTGAAAAGTGGCAATGGTGAGAATTTACGGAATTTATTTTATGTGGAAATGCAATCGACTTTTTTTTTTTCTCATAATCTTTCAGCTGGTCAGTATTGGTTCTTCCTATAACTATGGCAATGAAGATCAAGCTGAATTTCTGTGTGTTGTCTCAAAGGAATTGCATAACACTCCCTATGGCACAACCAGTGAACCCAGTGAAAAAGCAAAGGTAAGTTACCAGGCATTGGCCTAAAGAAATGGTGTCAGATTGGGTGGGCTTCACTAAGTCGTGCTAGGCCTACCTCTGTTCTGGACCATTACTTAGTTGCCTTTTTTCCCCCCTCGCTTATGACACATAATGGTTCCCTGTCCATTGTATGAGATACTCTAAAGGGTACCATCAGCATGCATTTGTTACACCAAATGGGTTCTTTAAATGCGATACTCTGTACTGTCCCTGATACCTGTCCTGGGTTTTTGACTGTTGGCAGGTATTTGCTGTTCTAGGTTTTGTTTCTTACACTTTGAATGCTTCCTTATTCTTCCACTAGTTCAGCTGAAAACTGTTTTTCTTGCTTGAGTTCAGCTGAAGAAATCTTACTGTCAGAAATGGAGATTGTAATATGCTGTCTCTGGAAAACATAGTCATGTGCAATATGTTACAAAATGGATGTTTTTATTAGCTTAATATTTTCAGGTTGCTACCTAGTTCTCTATACTTTCTGTAACCAGCTTTACAAAAAGATTGTAATGGGCGCAATATCGTCGCATTTTACTAAATTGTCTTTTAGAGTTTGTACAAGGGAAAATATAAAACCACAACTGAATAGTAATATGGCAGACCAGTTATGTATGTAAGTGTATTCTTCTCTCTGCATATTGAACAGTTTTTATCGTTGTATGAGGAGATGACTACAGACAAACTGGATACTTCTGTAGTTGGCTTAAAAGATTTCCATTTAGTATATGTAGATGGGAAATAATTGGTAAAACATCAAAGGTTGCTTTTCAAGAATCACTTTCAAAGAAATTAATTTTGAAATAATGCTGAGAATCAATCTAGGTCTTGGCACTGAGGCCTTAAATAGGTAAAACTTCACTGCTTTCTGTGCCCTAGAACTTGATGACGCAGCTACACATATGGAGACTTTTTTGTAAATTGCACTATAAAATTACTCCAAGCTTTATGTTGAAATCTTAATGAAATGATTAGTTTATGCTCTTTGGTCGGTGTCAAGATAAAACTTCCAAAGAGTTGTAAGGGATTAATGTAGTTAAGGGTAAACAGAGGAGCTGGATAAGCCACAGTTCATTCTTTCCAAAACCTTAGTCAAGGTCTGCTTTTGCCCGGATGCTTCAGGAAAACTTTAAACACTGACAAGATAAAGAGGTGTCTGGTAATAATTTAGGGCAGAGATATGTACCTGAAATAAAATGTGGAATTCTAGAACCTAATAAACATCTTCATAAGGAACGGTAGTGCATCTTCAAGGAACTTGAGAAGTTGCCAGTTACGTTACATCCTAAATGTAAAAGAAAATATGGATCAAATGAAACTATTAAACCCTAAATACAAAAGCTAGATCAGAGTGCCGTACAACTGTGTAAATTCAGTAGCTCTGAGATAAGTTAAATCTTAGACCTCTTAATTGAAGTGCTTCTTGGTCATTATTTCAGAGAAGAGAGCAGAGCATAATTTGACCAGGGTGATGAATAAGAATTACTATTAATTTTAGTTGGAGATATAAACATTCACTCCTTTTGTCCTGGAAGAGTTGAGCTGTTGCTAGCAATTAATGGCAATGCTTGAAGAATCATCTTTATATATTATGTTTCTGATAGGTCAATTATTTGTTTTATAAGTGTATGTTGTGCCTGGGGGGAAAAAAAAAAGAAAATACAAAAAAATTTCTATTTTGTTGAGTGGTTTCTGACAGCCGTGTTCAGGAATCTTGACTGGACCTTGGGAGCTGTTGTCTTAATAGTTACTTCTTAGCCAGTGTTAATCCTCTAGCCTGCAATCTGTTCATTGGTGTCTGAGTTGATCTTCATGAAGTCATATGATTGAAATTCTGATATCCAGTGGTATGTACAGAATAATGTGTCAATGTACTGGGGCTTACTTTTAGAAGCCATGAGAAAGTCTTCCTGTTACTTTTACAGCAGGTTGGGTTAGAGAAAACAAAAAACTGCCAGTATGTAATTTTTATTGACAAGCACTTCAATTTTAATTAATAGTACTGAACTTTCAGAGTAGCAGAAAGCATTTTCTGATAGTCCATGGAATCAAGCTTCACCTTATTTCCTTCTTAGACACTTTTAAAATTGTGTTTTCTTTTTTTGGAAAACAGTTTGCATGGTAAGTTAGTAGTTGGCTTCTGTGTAACCTTCTAATACAGCTAAGCAAAGGAATTTAACAGCATTTTGGACATCGATTTAAATGGTTCCAGTGGCTTTTACTACTAGCCATGGCGCTACTGAAAGACAACCTGTATTCCCACAAGCATTCTTTGCTTTCATACCACTTGATTGACCTGTCACTCTTGGGACAAATGACCAAAGCTTGTTCATAACATCTGCATCCAAAGTTAGATTCTCAAGTGCTATTCTTTCCCATCCGTGGTGTAGAATATACAGAGTTAAGGTACCAGCTTTACAGTTTTATTTAAATTTTCTCTATACTTATGATACCTGTTGTTATGTTGCATGGCACTATTAGCTTCTATCTGCTGACTTTAGAACGTTTGAAAAAGGAAATTTTCATGAAATCTGTAATGTTCCTCTTTGAAATTGTCTGCCATCGTACTTTCTTACAAAGACTGAGGGTCCCACATAAAAGTAAATAAATGTAATTCCCAGGTGCTTCAAGTGTAAGTGGACCGTACTTGTTGCAGCTCTGACTCACTTGCAATCTCTTCTTTTCCCTTCTTTTCTCTATACTTGCTGTATGCTGCATGCCACTCAGAGTGAGGATGAAGAAACGGATTACGATATGAATGACTCAGATTAAGTGTAAATGTCATGGTGAGCACTAGCTGCCCTAGGATTTTACCAAGATGCTTTTCTGCCCCATTCAATTCCTACCCCTACCAGTGCTGTCCTTTGGCTAGTCCTGGTGGTGTGTGTGTTTGTGATTATAGCTGTAGTATGGCTAGCAAAGATGGAATTGCTGGTCTGGATATTGCTTCTTTGACAGACTAATTAGTGTTGCTGTTAGCAACTGTATTGTGATTGGTTCCTTCAGAACTTTGCTAAGAAGAAAAGTTCTTCATGTAGATTCTAAGTTCAGAATTGCTTTTCAGTTTTCTTTTCCTTGCACCACTCTTTTTATCATTTTTTTTTATTTGTCAAGGCATCTGATACAAACTTACAATACACATTTTCAGTAAATGTCTGATTTGGCAATAAATGAGCAAACTTGACTGAAGTGCAACATAGTCAAAAGCTAGTCTTATCTGACAATTTTGAAACTAAGAATTTTTCAATCAAGACCTGGCAAATATAAGCAAACAAAGATCTTGGTGCTACAGTTATATTTATCACAAGAAACAACTCTTTTCTGGGGACGGATCAGGTCCTTTCCACTGTAGTTTGACATCTTACTGAAGATCAAGGTGCTTTAGAAGTTGCAAGTGGAAGAACACAACAGTTCCATCAGAAAGAACAACTTTTGCAACCTTTTCCTAATGTGTTTGCAAGCACTGCTCATATTTATTCTACTGTCCAATTTCTAGAAGATAATTATCATTGAATGTTCAGTGATACAGTGTGTGGGTAGTCACTTGAGCCTATGTAAATTGAACATATTTACCACTGCATGAGATTGAACTCCAGCTTCTCACCTATACTCCTGAAATTTTTAGCTGTAAGGCAGCCTTGTACTTATCTCTGTAATGTTGCCTCTGCATGGCTGAAGAAGAACCTACATTATTTTGTTAACTGATGCTAACAGAAACTACTGCTGAGGTAGAATAATGTCTTTTGCCAAGTCTTCAGGAGTGGCTGCAAGGGATGGATCAAATCTTAAGCTTTATTGAAAAAAATAAACTGGCCCTGTGCTGGAATTGCATGCAAGATTCTTAAGCTGCCTGAGAGACAAACAGTCCTTAAAGTGCTCTTCTATCTGCAGCAGATTTATTTTGAGTGAGAGGAAATAGTTCTCACATTCTGCTTCCCTAAGAAGCAATCACACTCAGGCCACTAGGATATGAGAGTTCGTTCAGCATTGTTTAGAGTTTCCAAGTCAACTTTCAATCTTTCAACACAGCAGATCTGCACCAGGGTCAGGACAGTCCCCAGTATCGTTACAGACTGGGTGATAAATAGATTGAGAGCATTGCTGCAGAGGAGGGCTTGGGGATACTGGTGGGGGAAAAATTGGATACGAGCCAGCAACATACACTTGCAGCCCAGAATGCCAGTGATCTGGGACTGCATCCAAAGCAGCATGGCCAGCAGGTCGAGGGAGGGAGTTCTTCCCCTCTGCTCCGCTCTCGTGAGACCCCCGCCTGGAGCACCGCATCCAGCTCTGGGGTTCCCAGTACAAGGAAGACGTGGAGCTGTTAGAGTGGGTCCAGAGGAGGACCACAAAAACGGTCCAAGGGCTGGAACACCTCTGCTATGAAGAAAGGCTGAGAGAGTTGGGCTTGTTTGGCCCGGAGAAGAGAAGGCTCCGGGGAGATGTTATTGTGGCCTTCCAATGCTTAAAAGGGGCCTATGAGAAAGACAGAGAAAGACTTTTTTACTGGGGTCTGTAGTGACAGGACAAGGGGCAATGTTTTTAAACTGAAAGAGGGTAGATTTAGATTGGATATAATGATAAAATTCTTTACTATGAGGGTGGTGTGACACTGGAACAGGTTGCCCAGAGAAGTTGTGGATGCCCCATCCTTGTAAGTGTTCCAGGTCAGGTTGGGTGGGGCTTTGAGCATCATTTCAAGGATTTCAAAGATATCCTTGTCCATGGCAGGAGGCTTGGACTAGATGACCTTTAAAAGTCCTTTCCAACCCAAACCATTCAGTGATTCTGTGATCTAAAGTGTGCAGACAGAGAGAGGAGCATTATCAGTGAAGTCACCTGTTTAGCTAGTAGAGCATGTTCTGAAACAAAAACATCTTCCATGCCTGGTTCAGCTCCAGGCATACTCCTCAATCCTAGTTATTAGCAGTTTGGGAGAAAATGTGACATCACTGTTTTCAAATTTTATTGACCTCTGTTAGTATTGAGACATGTTATCTCAGGATTTTTTTCTCAGTAAGCCACTAAAATTTTTAGTAATATTCTTATTAAAGGGTGTTTCAGGAAAAAAAAAGGAGGAATTTCAAATTGCAGAATAGAGTTGGTCATCCTTTCAGTATTTAGTAAGTAAGTAAGTTCAATTCTGATAGAATTCCTGATAATTGAAATTAAGTTTCTTCTTTGGACAAAGTCACCGCCCATGACTGCAAAAGATCATCTTTCACACAGTTTCTGAACAGAGGTGGATGGAACACTGCTCATGAGAGCTTGCTGATCAGAAATCATTTCTCCTTTAGTAAAGCTAGGGGTTACAGAACAAGTACCAAGCAAAGTGTGTTAAAATATTGCCTGATCTGATAAGATTTTCTGCTTTACGTTGGCATTACTGGCTCAGTAAAGCATACAAAGTTGAGCATCCAGATCTGGCTTAGCTTTATCTTGTATGTTTCCTGAAGCTGCAGAAAATAGTTCTAAGCCTCCTAGTCTTCGAAGTACTTTTTATTTTCCAGGAAAGAATAAACTCAAATGTTTCCTTTTAAATTGGAAAGATTCACAAAATGAATAGAATAAATATTATTTTTGAACTGCATAGGTGCTTGTTTCAGCCATGTTTTTGTCTCTGTTGGAGATGATTTCAGCTTACTGACTACATTTGCTGGGTCAGATTGTTACCGGCATGTGGGTATTACTCCAGCACTTTGTTCTCAGCTGTGACCAACAGCAAATACTCAAGGAAAGAGTTCAAGTATGAAGCATTTATCAAATTAGCTCCTGATATATTTCTCCACCTTCCAGTAAGCATCAATTTAGGAATTTTGGCTTCAAGCCTGCATCCAGATCATTGTATGAAGGCTACAAGGACACTATGATACCATGAGTAGGTATCAATGGCACTATCTTCTGTAAGTTTGTCGAATTCCTTTTGACTATATTTTACTAGCAGTTGCTAAGCAATTTTCAGGGCCTGGATTTTCCTCACAGAATTCACTTACATCTTTCCTACAGTTTCATATGAAATGCTTTTTGCGTAGTACACATAGTAAATTATCTTCCTGAAATAAATAATGTTTGTATCTAAAATACACCCTAAAGCTTATCATGACCTATGAGAAACATCTTTCTGTATTTTGGAAATTGATCAAAGTAGCTGCAGTGACATCTGGCTTCATATCTTCAAAATACTAATATTGAATTTGAAATGAAAAAGAACTTTGCATGCACAAAGGGAGATCCAGATGCTGCAGGAAGTGCAATGAGCAAGTGATAAAGTGGATTTTTTTTTTTTTTTTTTAAAGCTAACTCCAAACTGTCCCTGAGGTACCCAAATGGTGACAGGTTCTTTATGAACTCCTGTCCTTAAAAAAATCCCATGGAGTTGTGCAAAGCAGGTGAGACCCTACTTGACTGCAGTGACTATGAAAGACATACTAGGCCTGATGACTGACAGAGGCTGGTAGGTTAAATCATCAACATTTTAACAATATTAAAAAGAAACAAATACCTAGACTTTTTGTATTTAAAATCATACATGAAACTGCTGTGCTGTGTTACATGGTTGCCAGCCTTTACCCTACAGGCACAAAGACTGAAGTGTTTGCGTGTGCTGTCAGATTCTGCGGATCCTCTGGCATGGAATGTGCTCCTGAGTACTAGCATCAGGTGTTTGTCTGAATATCAGACTACACTGAAACCATCATAGAAGGAAATTCTACTGAAGACAGCTATGCCATTGTCCAAGGATTGTGCCTTTGCTTTCTTTCAGCTTTTGAAATCAAGAGCCCTTCTCAGTACTAGGAAAACTGAAAAGAAGCAAAAGAAAATGAACTATTGTTAGAGATACTTTTACTTACAGATTAACATTGTTAAGTACTTACGCTCTGTCCATTTGAAGCTTTGCTTAGTGTCATGATTGGTCCCACAGTTTGCTTGCGAGGCTTCCCTGCAGTAATTATGCAGCTGGCAGTTGACCTCGTTATTGCTGATTGCCATTTGGTTTACAGTAGCAACATGAGAAACATCGTTGCTTGGACAGTCAGTCCTCTGACTTGGATCCTTCCCTCACTGGAGGAGACAAAGAGAATTGAAACAGAACAGGAAAAAAAAGAGTCAAATCGGAAGCAGAATAGGTGATCTTCATATCGTAAGATGCTACAGACAAGGATTCCTAGGGTTTTCAGGAGTAGATGTTTTGTTTCCATTAGACTTCAGTCCCTATGTTTAATATATGCCTTTTAAAGTGAATATTAAACAAACCAACTGCTTTTAGGAAAAAATATCTTTATATTCACTGTAATGGGAATCTCAGTTCCTTTGTAACAGTGGGAGAATCAATTTCTTTAGACAGAATTTTTTAGAAATATATTCCTCCTCATGAAGTCAGAGCCTGCATTGACTCTCAGCTGCCTGGCTTGGGCGTTTCAAAGGATAGCGATGGACAGGTAATGCATGGCAAGTTCAATGTGCTATGTCCTACATCCACAGAAACAATTTTAATGTGGACAAAGATGCCTAAAAAACTTGGGAGATCTTGCATGACATTAATGTAAAAATATTTTAAAACTGCTGTCAGTGTAGTACTTATTTTCATATAGCTTGTGGGTCCAGCTGATAAGCTTTGTATGTCTGAACAGCATAGTAAAAATCTGTGAAGAAATGTAGTTGGTTGACTTTAGTTGACTCGAAAGACCAAACCTGGGCATCTCTCTCAGATTTTAAATCAGGCAGTTGATTTAAATCTTGCCAGCTCGTACTCTTGGCCTTTGAAAACTTCCTGCTTCATCTCACCCAGGTGCCATTTGTGCATGTTTTGAGTTGCTAGTTCATGTTTTCAGTACTAATTTACGGGACACAATTTGCAGCTGAAACTTCAGAGGGTTAAGGACATTTCACTGGAATAGGAAAAACGAATATTAAATTCAATTTCTAATAAAGTACTCAAGTTAATTTACCACACAGGATCTAAGTATCTTCAGAACTAGGAAGAGGTGAAATGGCTTACTTTTGACATCTGCCAACTTTTAAGCTTTGGTTATATTAATCATATTCAATTCCTAGCAGTGATTTTACAACTCTTTTAATTATGTTTGATAGTAGACATTGTATGTATCAATCTGTCTTTTTTCAGCCTTAAAACACTGACTTCAGGAATGTCCTTGAACCAGCTCCCTGACACTTTATCGGTTATTTGAAAGAGTCATGTTGCTTTTTGACCTCCATGCTTTAGGAATGACATTGAGTGAATTTTCATTTATAGAATTTTTATTGGTCTATTTCAGATTTTGCAAGAACGAGGTTCCAGGATGTGAAGACAGTATTGAATGGTGACAGTTTTTCTCTTTTATTCCAAGATGCAGTGAATTGTCACACTGAAGAGGCTCAGCTGCAAAAGAAAAAATCTGATTTAGACAATTTTCTGTTGATCTGGATTCAACCATTTTTGCCTATAAGCTGGTGTCAACTGGCTGAAAGCGTTGCAAGCTTACATAATGGGAGTAGATGGTGTGGGAGTATGTGTTTAAGTTTTGGTTGTAGCACATGGTTGTACTTTCTTGTGGGCTGACTGACACTGGTCATTTGAAAAGAAATGACCATGCACTCATATTTTCCTCTGAGACATGTAGCACTTAATGTCTGGTGCTGGATGACCCAATGTTGATCAGTTTGGAGACATTTTCCTAGTAATCATTGTAAACATTTAAAGGACAATGTAATTGGTGCTACACACACACACACACACACATTACAGCCCACAAATGCAAATACTTGGGCCTACATTGTTTCAGAATCAGTGGCAGCCCCAGTTGACTGTGTTATACTGCACATCCTTATGGCTCGGTGACATATTCTATTACGTACAACAGCCTAAGAGATCAACTGAAACTAGCACGTAAAAAAGTTACACAACAGACGGGTTTCTCTAAAGGAAGGGTGTATATATTGACTGGACTTATAGCATATTTTAATACTTAAAGGGAAGACGAAACTCAGAGAAAGTGGCCTTTGTCTGAGTTATTGATGATGTTCCTTCTGTTAAAACAGTCTCCTCCTGCAAAAGTTATGCTCCAGTCTTAGCCAGATATTTGGAAGGGGAATCAAAATTCACTTAAAATGAACAAGTGAACATTCTGTTTCTTTTGAGATGTTGGTACTCATATGTGTGTTTGTGCTTTTATAAAATGCCTATAAACATTGAACTCTGTGGATTGCGGTAGAGATTTTTCAAGAGCTGGAGATTGTACAGAAATATGGCTGGCTAGTCCTAGATCTCTATCCCGATGACTGGGATTAAAATCAACCTTGAGTGTGAACACAAGCTCATTCAATGGAAAAACTTAATTACTTCAGACATTCAGGATACCTGTAATCAATCTTTCTTTCTCTGCTGTTTCAACTGTGCAGTTAAAGAACACTGTTTGAAAACGTCTGGTATAGCTCTATTAGGTTGTCCTTGATGAAGGCTAATACACAAGACTGGAGCTTTTTAATACACTATGTTTTGAGCAAAATCTTTAGCACATCTTTAAAACACTTATTGAAATTGACAGTCTAAAACTCGACTTCATTGACTTATGAAAGCAGTGGAAGGGAGTTTCAAAAAGCCACAAGATTGTTTTGAATTCTAAAGATGTTACATTTTTCATTTTCAGTAACTTCAGAATTTATGCATATACTCTAGGTGATCCTTTACACAAAAGCCTGATTTTCAAACACCCAGGGTCTACTCTTTTTTTTTTTTTTTTTAAAGGACTTATTATACATTGATAAAAGCGTGGCAGGAACAATTTGTAAGAACCATTTCTACTAAGCAAGTGAAGCAATGGGCTAAATGTTTTGTCCATGCGTCTAATGCTTGAAAGGATTTGTAATGCATTTAGCAACTTGGATGTGGTCTGCACAGGAAGCTGCTGGCCCCTCCACAACAGCATGTAAAATGTTTGTCTTTTTTTAAGATGTTAAATCTGAATTGAATTTACTAAAAATGTGATTGTGTAGGGGGAAATGTTTATACTTTTATACTTTTTTAGGCACCCATATTTTATCAGCTTAAATTTAGCACTCCAATTTCCCCTAAATAGTAACAGATCATCTTGTGTATCTGAAAACAAGCATAACAGTTGTCTGTGTTAACTGCATATTAAAACATTCCTCTGCTGCAGTAGTCACTGTGTTTTTAAACAGTATGACCACCGAATTCTCTGAGCTCCCTAGCTCGTGAACTTGCAGCCAACCATATTTCTTGTTGTTTTCTTAATGCGCGCTACAGAGTAACTCGGCATTGACCTACGTGGATTTTAATGTCTAAAATACCTGTTTTGCAATGATCCTTCGGAATCAGCATTTCTGTTGTCTCTCTTATTTAAACCAAAAAAGACAGAATATTTTATTTCATAAAGTGAAATTTTCTAGAATGACAGCAGCAAAGCATGAGTAACAAACTGAGCAAACTGAACAAATTTAGAATATGTGAAAGAGTGGATTTTTCAATATACCTTTTTTTTGCTGCAGTATTTTCAGTTTAAAAACATGCTTTTATGGTGAGATTAGCTGCAATCTAGTTTACATTGTATCCCTGTTGTAGTAAATTTTTGGGAAACGAGTGGTTAATCATTTTACACTTTGTTTCCAATACGTCACAAGATTTTAAGAAAGAAGGGAAAAAAGAAAATGAGGACTTTAATAGGCAGGTACCTTGTAAATTATTTTAAATATGCTGTTGTTTGAGACCATTTGAACTAACTGCTTTCTTGTTCTTGCTTTCTTGTTCTTGCTAATGTCATTGTTGCTTTAATTTTTGTGAACATGTGAGGCTTTCAGATAGATGGAAGTGCTACCATATGCCTTTTTCAAGGCATTAAGAATTGATCCCTAAATAAGTTTGGTTTCTTTTTATTTGACTTTTGTAATTTCAAGTAAAGTTAGCTACTGTAACAAGGTAATTGCATTAGAGTCCAGTCTACATCACCAGGTTTTGCAAACATTGGTTCGTCTGTTAAGGTCTTACAGGATGAAGTAACGTACCAATACAGCTTAAACTGCAGTCTTTTGCCTCTTTTCTGTCATTTGGAGAGTGTTTCCCTCCAGAGAACTACGTCTATGTAAAGCTGATGGTTTCCTAGGGGGCCATAGTGGAAAAGCTGTACTGCAAAAGCCTTTGACATGGACTCTGGATTTTCACAGCTTCTCTATTCTTAAAACACTATTCCAGGTTAAATTTTAAGATCCTGAGCACGAAGAGATCATAGCAGAAGGAAGTAAAGCAGGAAGGGAGAAATACCAAAACATAACAGTTAATCAAGGTGACCTGATGAAAACGTAAATTCTGTGAATGATTTAACTTTCTACCCTTTTGCTATATGAATATTCGGAGAAGTTGTTTGGCATGTTGTCAGTGGAACAGGAGGTTACTTCAGCAGATGATTAGCAGATTTTCAGTGAAATTCTTTAAAGGCTTTTACATGACAAACTTGCAAAACTTGTTTAAAACTGAATTCAAATTTACCATAGCAATTCCTTGCTTTGAGTTAGGAATCAGCATACTGTTGGCCTTAAGTTTCGTCAGAGGCTAATTTTCTGTATTGGAGATGACATTTTTTATACTAAATGCTCTTGAGTTCTTCAAGCAGCAACTAAATCAGAGATTATCTGCAATGAACAAGTCATTCTGAGGCCTCTAAGATACGAATGTCACCTGGTCCATAATAGCTGTCCAAAATTGTAGTCTGACTCAGCAGCTCTCACAGTAAATGTGAAATTTGGGGTTTTTTTTAAAAACAAAAGACAAAATGTTACCTGGAATTTTCTCTCATTTATTGTGGGATTTCCATGGATTATGGCTAATTGCAGTTTGTTATCCCACAGTAATTTGTGTGTCAATGGCCTCATTGTGTTTAGAAGCTTATATTGATTCTCTACTAAACTTTCTGGCCTCAGAATCATATACTCTGAAAATTTGGAAAAAGTATTGTGTTTTTTTCAAACTCAGCTAGGTTTCTTGTGATGAGAAAAGTTCATCTTTCATTGTAGCATTAGTTAAAGATATTCCTTAAGAACTTGAGCTTAATGTATCCATCCCACTTTTTTGTCTTCAGATTTTCTTTAGACAAATCTCAGGATCTCACCTGGGTTTGTGTATAGACTTATTGATTCTTAAAATAGTATAAATATTCAGTTTAAAAAAAAATGTGAAAGGCACTCTGAACTCAGTGTCATATAACTTTTCTTTCTTTTGGCTCACAACAACCAGGAGCTGTCTTTAAAGGCTTCTTACTGAACTGAAGTTTTAAAGGGCTAAATAGATCTTACTGTTCAGTTTGTCTAAATGAATGAGTGTCAGACAGAAGGAACTCTTTCCATTTTCAGTGCAGAAATGCTAAGGGCTAAAATCCTTTCCAGGGCTAATCTGAAGTTCCAGAGACACATAATATTTAAAAAGCAGCTAGTCTATTTTCCTTTCAACTCATAGACTCAAAAATAATTTTTACAAGTGGCTGAAGCAATTGCAGATACAAGTGTTGATATATGGCTTGGAATTTCAGTATCCAGCATGGTAAGGCATACACGAGAAAAGACAGTACACTTGCCCACCGCTTCATTATTGCCTGTGGTGAAATTGAACAACTTTTATGAACAGCACTGGCAATAAAGAGACTTTGAGAAAGATTCTGCTGCAGGAAGTGGTTGCTGAATATTTCATTGCAACTTAGCTGTCCTTTAGCAAGGTCTACCAAGGCATAAACTTCTCAAAAGTTCAGTGCATTGATACTGCTGCAGACATAGCTTTCTGTGCTCATCAAAGGGTTCTCTTTAGGATGTTGTGTGTTAATAACTACTATACTGAGAGAAACTTTTTAGAAAGTTATTTTGCTCCTTTGAAGGTGAGTGGAAGGGGAGGAGGTTCTGTGATAGTGCTCTCCTTGCCTTAGAAAACTGAGCCTAAATTTTGACCTGACTTAACATCTGTTGAGACTTTCAGGCCTGGTCATCTGAAGTGTAAGAGTTAATGTATTTATGTACATGATTCTTGCTCCTTTTGAAGATTTTCCAAAAGCTTATGCACAACTTTACTCAAACTTAACTTGGCTCATGTGTACTTGCTAGGATGAAGCAAGTGCCAAGGCATTGTATGAGAAATGTTGCCAGCCTGTCTACCTGGAACTGAAGCAAGACCACCAGACTGAAGGAGTGTCAAATGGCAACTATGGCCACCTGAGCCTCGCTGTGAAAAATCTATTTCCTATGGACTTTCTGGGTCCACCTACCCAATTCAACAGATGTTCTTTTTTTTTTTTCTTTTCTTCCAAATCACTAGACTCAAAATTAGTTGTGCATCAGCTCTTTGTGATAATATCCAAGTGGCGATACTTGCAACATGGGTATTATTTCCTGGATAGTGGATTAGCAATAATTATTTTGTGCCAATTCATTATCTCTGAAGTGTTCTTACTGCAGCAAAGTTTGAGTTTTGATCTGGCTTTAATGCTTTTGCATTAGCCAAAACTCTTAGCACAGACATAGACAAGAAACTGAATCCATGGAATTTCCCTGGATAAAAATCTGCTAGGGCTTCCCAAATCATTCAAAGATGGTTATAGTTAACCATCATTTTTAAAATAAACATACAATTAAAATGTGTGTATTTTTTTAACCTCGTTTTCATAACACTAGCATATTGTAAACTGCATGAAATAAACCTGTTTTTTCCCTTTTAAAGTCTGATGTCTTAAATCTTTCTTTTCTAAATCTGTTAATGTTGACATTAACAGTGTAATATCACCAATATTCCTAGTTTTGCACTTCAAATATAAAATATAGTTGTGGTTTTGTGCAGCGATTTGAAGCAGTAATATTTTTTCCTTTGTAAAGGAATGCTGCTGTAGTAGAAAGTAGTCCCCTCTGGTATGGATATATAATTACATAAAAAACATGTA